AGCTGCGGAAAACTCGAAAGCCATCAGTCTTCTGATGTGTGGCAGAGACTTTTAACATCTTCCTCCATCCCCCCCCCCACTTTTCCATCATGAGCTGGCACTTACTTTCGGAGGATTGGCATCGTGATGCGCTCCCCCCCCTCTTCCTTTTCAAGTCGTTTGTTTTGCTCCTTCATTTCAGCCATTTCCATGAAGAGGAGGCAGCTGGACGCCATTCAGCGGACTCTCAATTAGCCGTGTTTTGTTTCACTCCTCCGTTGAGCGCATTTAGCCACTTTTTTGCCGCCAATTTTGCGACGTTTGTTCGAGCTCCGCCGGGTGTTTTTGAAGTCTTTCATTGCTATCCCTGCGTTTCCCAGGCCTTCGCTTGATGTATAGCGGCGCTAGAACAATTACGGCCCATTAAAACAATGGCGGCTGAGTGTGTAGGCGCCAAAGTGCTGACTAATAACAGTCATTAGAATAATAATTGGAATAGCGACGGCTTTGCCGATCGCTCAGATATGAATCACAATATTGATGCGAGGAATAGAAGTAATAACGGTTGAATTACAATAGTGGTTGTCAAAGAAAAGAATTGAGGATATATTCTGTCACAGTACCTTGTTTCATCCCCCCATTTTTCCTCACTCCTTTTTTTATGTCGGCTCAATACCTCGCCTGTCAATGTTTTATTAACCCGCACACCCTTCTCTGCTGAATGGAGCACGGACGCTCTAAACCTGATTAAGTCGGACTAAATTAAATTTAAATGAAGTCGGACGAGAAGGCCAATAAGTGGTGCCGGTTTCACCCAGCCAAATATCTCCTCGCTATAGGCTATATTCCTCACTTCTCCTCATTTTCCTTTATTCCTCTCCTGTAATTTTGCTCTGTGGTTCTACAAAGAGACTGTATACATTTATTGAAGGCAGCATAAACTTCAAGGGCTGGGTGCTGTACACTTAACAGCATTACATAAAAAGGTATTAGCTCTCGACCGCCATCTCTGGGAGTGCATTGCAAAATCCCCAGAAATGACTTAATGGAATATTCCAAGCTAATCTTTATCTGAAACATCTGTATTGTACAGTCGTTTACCCCAGATGATCATGTAAATGCATGGTCCTTTACTTAGAAAAGATCTGAAATCCCATTGCCTTAAAATTCACTTATAACAGGAGCCAATGGGTGGTTTCCAAGGTGTCCACCGTTTGCCTTTATTCTTCTCAGGAGACTTGCTTTCAGATGTTTCAGAAGAAATCTGAAATTTTTCCACACCTCCAAAGTCTTTGATTTGCGAATGTCTACATGCTAAGCAAAAAGGCCTCTATATAGTACTGAAAAAGGGCTCTTGGATTCGTAACAATAGTGGAACTCTTGATACTATATAGAACCGTTTTCAAAAGGGTTATTGAAAGAACCATATACAACAGGTTCAGAGTCATTTATGCATTCAAATGATTTATTGAGTGTTCACGGTTCTAAATAGAACCATTGCCTTTACTAAAAACAACTTTATAGAACCATTTTTCTTTTCTTTTTTTTAGATTTTCCCCAGTTTCCTTATATCCAGTTCCACCCACTAGTTAGATTTCCCCCAAATTACACGATACCACCAGTGCTAGGAGGGTGAAGGCCAGCACAGGCTTCCTCTGAGACCTGTGAAGCACCACCACGAACATGCTCAGTGCCAACGCCAGATAACAGACGCCTGCACTGACTAGCATCGGGCTGAGTGATGAAGGTAGAGGAGGGCCATCCTACCCACCCAGAGGGCGAGGCCAACTGTGCCCTTGTGGACTCACCAGGGATCAAACTCATGATCTCCTGATGATAGGGCCAATGCTTAGACATTTGCACGACTCAGGAGCCTTATAGAAGAGGGCTTCAGACAGCTACACATCCTTTCAGACCCATAGCAATACCTCACAATCCAAAAAAAATAGAGGGCAACATATCACTAGAAAGTTGTGGTGTCCACCCCTATCGTAATGCACTGTCCCTCCTTTCAGCATCAAACTTCATCCCTTTACTCGCTAAGAGCTGTCTCCAGTGGTGTCAACTCTTTTAACTCTTGACGGGACTTGACCAAAATCTTGTTTAACTTTTTAAGGCAATGGTTTAAAAGACATATTCTGTCTGCTCTTTGCCACCGGTCATCACTGACACTTTCAAGCAGCACAACTGACCTCTTCAGGTTGCCAGATTGGGCAAAATCCCTGGATTACCATTTTATGCTACTTGCTATGATACATTTTTTGTTATGTTATGTTAAAGCATATAAAACGCGTTATGAATAAATACAAACAGTAGTCGCCACCCTAGTTAAATGCATTTTTCTCTGTACTAAAAACCTGTTGACTCAAGCACTGCTCATAATAGAAGCCACTGGGTCGTGGCTAAATGATTGTCTGTGTTAATTGCATGATACAGATGCAGCAGAACACCCACAGTGCAGAATTCACACTAACTCTTACACTGTTCATTTGCCGTCGGCTGTACTTACCTCAACACTGCAGGTGTTATTTCAGTACAGTGGATTTTGCTGCATGTGCAACTTTAGAGATATCTGGAGACTACAGTCGAAGAAAACACCAACTGGTGTGGAAGATAACAGGTGCACCACAATATGCTCATCCTACCAGGGGTATTTGACTGTGTGCGTGCCCTGTTCAAGTTGTCCCAACTATGTGCTACTTCACAGTAGTTAACTGATTAATTGGCCCTTACGACTCCAGACATGAGCTAATTAGCTCAGGCATTTGGGTGGAAGAAATGCCTGCAAGAGCTACAGTAGACGTAACAAGAGTTCAAGTCCTGAAATACCTTATTTAGACCATTTTATTTAGACTTTATCATTCAGATTGCAGTTTAACCGGTGAGGGTATCTCCCAGTGCTCCCCTCACCTTTTGGCTCACTGTTTAAAGGGCAACATCGAATGCAAATGAGCCTGTCAGACAGTTTAAATAAATTATGTTTTTTTGTCATTTTTTAAACTTCCACCAGTTTTTGTTATGATGTGAAAATGTGCATTGTGGAGAAACCGACTTACCTCTTTACAGTGGTGGAACCAGGCGTCGCAATGTCTACAGTGCGTATATAGACAGTTAATTTACTATCCAAAATGACCAGTAAAGCTAAAGAATGGTATAATAGTGGTCAATCTGAGAAATACAGTTTCTTTTGGAACTATTTTTCTTACAATGAGTGGATTGAAAAATCCATTTATAGGCTAAAACCCCCTCAAATGTATCATAAAACAATTTCTCAGGAATCAGGAAATGTATTTAGAACTATTTTCTGTGAGGTAACTTTTCGAGGAACTTAGACGTTTGGTTCCTATCACCTCCACTGTAAGCAATTCTGACGCGAGAAGTTTATCTACAACAGAGCTGTTCACACCAAACCACTCTGAATGACTTTGTTTGCATCTTAACGGGTTAGTTAGCAAAATGACTTTCTTTTTTTATTGTCAATGGGTTTTTAAAAGTTAGATATTTGGCTAATTACCCTGCTAAGCAAAGAGTAGCATGCATTTCATTGTGTGTTTTTTTTTTTGCATAATTTGAAAGCTCCAATTATCCTTTGCTTTGTATCAAAATTTCGTGATGAATGGACCAAAAGAAATGGTTGAACATTACCTGGAAAAATATGACTTTACATTAACTTCCATTACAATGTTAATAGTGTTTTTCCTTCTCCTGTAAAGTTCATTTTGAATATACAAGTTTTGTTCTGACAGTGATGATATATTTTACTTTGTAGCAGTTTTAATAGTGAGCTCTGGTATACAGCTGCCGTCAACCCATTAATTAGGCTGCCCCTTGTATTAATAGTACTCGTATATCTAGAATTTTCAGAAGAGTGATGCTTTTTTCGCACCAGATTGAGAAATCAAATTGTTTTTGGTTCATTCCTTTGTCACGTCATAATTATGCTGAAGGCTGATCTTGCAGGTCATGAAGTCAAATTCGATAGGAAAGCTTGCTAAGCAATAGCCACCTAGATACCAATTCCTGATTGGCCAGTTTTCCTCTTTGAATTTAGCCCTTTTGTTTCCATTTAAACTTCACAGTGGAACAAGAGTAGGACTGTAATACTTGAAGAGTTTAAATACAAGCATGATTCTATTGAATAAAAATAGAAACAGACATCATTAGACTTTCAAAGAAGGCCCTGTGGGTTCCTCTCTGGCCACTTTAGACTTTATCCCCCAGCACCGCTAGTCAAGTGCCTCTCGCTCACAATCCCACAAAGCCTCACACATTTTTTTGCTACTCCTCATGGAACATGGGCCAAACTCGCTTTCAGTTTCCCACCATATCCATCACACAGCATGTAGCTTACACCACAGACATATAAAGAAGGTGTCAGTCTTGTTCAGCCCCCAGGTTAGGATACAGGATCATGCTAGCCGGCCTCATCAGAACGAACAGTGACAAATTTAGCCCCATAATCCACGCTGGTGACGTTGCTGCGATGAGTCACCCTTCCTGGGGAGACCTCCATGTCAGGGCTGCGGATAATTGCATTTCACCGGAGACAGACGTCCAGGGCCTTCACGTCTGCGGCGAGGCTAATGATGCGCCGTGCACTCACAGCAGCCTGCCTCCACTGATCGCTGCCCAAATAAACATCAGCGGTCCGGCGTTGGCGTGCTGCAAAGCCTGGAAGGCCCAGGATGTGAAGCGGCCAAATGTAGCATCCAACGGCATGCGCCAGCAACCACATTAGAGGCGCGTGTCAGCCACCAGTCAGCCGAAGCGTGACGCTAGCGGCCGCGGTCCGGCTATGCATGTGCCTTATGATAAGCAGAGTGGTTGGAAGTGACTGCTGGGTGCAGTTAATTCCCACTGAGACGCAGCTCTCGTTACCGCAGTGGCTCATGAGAGGCGTGTCAGTCAGAGCTGGGTGGACAGGAGGAGACTGTCAGCTAGCGCTAATGGATAAGGATAATGATCGTGGCAGTGATCTAACCACCATGTAATTAAAGGCTTTCTCCCTCTCTCTCTTTCAGCGCGGGGACAGGCGGTGCAGGCAGAGAACGTGACTGTTTTGGAGGGAGGGACGGCACAGATCTCCTGTCGCCTCCAGAACTATGACGGCTCCATAGTGGTCATCCAGAACCCGCGCAGGCAGACGCTTTTCTTCAATGGGACGCGAGGTGAGCAGCAGGAAGTCACTCACCATGAACCTTTTACAGAACAACATCACACAGTGGTCATGAGAGATGCTGCCTAAAACTCATTTAACTAAGCATCTCTTTGTTCCACACCATGGATTCAGTCTGGAACATCTTGTGAGCCTTAGCCATTGCAAACGATAGTTCAGGCAAAAACTCATTCCACTGCTTTCCTATTAGTGCTAATCACAGTTGCTCAGCTAAAACATGTTTGGTACCCTCAGTTTGCCTATCTAGTTTTGCAGTGGAGTTAAGCGGCTAATGTTGCTAACAACTAACCTTTAGCATTGCGCAAACTACATGTCTCAATTGCGTACTTGTCTCAAACTGCGTAGTTGTTTATTTATTTCAAACAGACTTGCTTAAGTGGTTTCTGACTCCGTATAGGCCTATTCGGACAGGATTAAATGGGGTCCTTGGGTAAGAGGCAATCCTTTTATTTCCATCCGGATCAGCCATGTTGGCTTTTTCTCCCTCCTCCTCCGCCATATTACCTACTGTTTCTCACCAAATTCAGCCGTTGTGGGATAATTTAGTCCCATCTGGATACAAATCTTTGTGATTTTGGTAGATTTTCCAGGCAGATGTCACACTGTGTTAGAAAAAATATTTTTTACCGCTCCATTTCGTCTTCTAGTGCGCAAATCCATATTAACCATTTTTCGAATGGCAAAATGGTTGATGCCTTGGAAGCCTTCCAAACATTTACATGATCTTGGTGTAAAACTTTGTCTCTATTTTCTCTACAATGGGAAAACATTAGAAGGAGGAGAAGCAAAATAAAGCCAGTCTTTCATAGGCAGTGTTTTGTATAAAACGCTTTATATTCACACTCAGAACAACATCCATGTGCATAGATTTCACAGCCCAAAACTTGTACCCCCTGTACTTTTCATTGCCGTCCAGATGGGTGAATTTTTTCACTTTACTTTTTTTCCCAGACATCCCCCTAATGAACTATTCCACTCTGAATAGGGCTTACGACATACTGTTATCTATAAAATTTAGCGGCATCGCTCAAAACAGTAGCAACGGCCTGAAGCCTGAATTTCGTACTTTATAGATAGCAGTGCGTCCTACAATGCCAGACCACTTAAACCAGTATATTTGAGATTAGTTAACAACTCGACATGGTTTGAGGCAAGTGAGTGATTTAGGCATTCAGTTTTCGCTGTGCTAACTGATGGCTAAGCTTCCATTATTAGCTACATTAGCCTCGTAGCTCCAGTGCCTAACTAAAGAAGCAAACTTCAGACACCAAACGTGTCTTAACTGATCAACTTCATTTAGGGTAAGGGCAAAATTGTGTAAATTTGGCAAAAACATTGCTTAAAATGCCTTTGGTCCTTGTGCTAATCAGCCTCCTGAGTCAACTGGATATTAGGAAGGCTTGCTATTAGCAAAGCAACAGTCTGAATCTGTGGAGATGAGTGAAATGTAACCAAGATTGTTGTCGATGGTATTTTTTTAATCAGTGTGACTTTTGATAGATTTAATTAATATTACCATCCATTCTAGAAAAAAACAACTTAGACAAGCATGCCTGGTCACCAGCTAAACTAGCATATCACTGCTACATGTCTCCATTTTCGTTTTTCAGGTTTTGACCTAATTTGAAAATGCATCTTGCCCTTTACATTGTGTATAAATTTCATGATGAATGAGCCAAAAAATGGACCAAAATTACTTGGAAAATTGACCTACATTAAAAGTAAAGTAGGTTTTTTTTTTCCTGTAAAGTTATCATTTTGGAGATACAAGGTTTGTTCTGATAGCAGTGGTATGCTGTGGTTTGGTTGTTGGTATGCTGGTCAATCAGATCCACAATGTGCATCCAACAGTTTGTAGGCACCAACATTTTTACTGAAAATTAGGGTATGAAAAAGGAACTCTGAAGTAACAGCCTCTACTCTTCTGGGAAGGTTTTTACACTATATTTTGGAAGAATGCTGTGAGCATTTGATTGTGTTCAGCCACAAGAGCATTAGTGAGGTCAGGTATTCATGTTGGATGGTCAGTTCTGGATGGTCACTCCAATTCATCCCAAAGGCACTGGATGGAGCTTCATCACTCCAGAGAACTCAATGCTGAGGGGTTTATACCCCTCTAGCCAATGCTTAACATTGAGCATGATGGCCTTATGCTTATCTGGAGTCTATTGCAATGCTTTTCCACGTGCATTGTACCTATGTATATGTGCTATACACACGTATATTTTATATTGTCTCCACCAATTTACAATTTTAATGCAGCGGTGCATTTAGAGTTGGAGCGTAGACGTCTGTATAGTTTCTCCTCCTGACAGCGAGCTTTTATCATCATTTAAATGCATTTAAACTGTCACCATTTGTCTTTTTGCATTACTTTAAACTGATTACTGTGGATTTATTTTTAAAGACCCTTTTAGAAATGAATCCCTCACAGTTTTTTTCCTCCTTGCTGTCACTATCATTCATTTTGGCAGTGACTTTCATCGAATTATAAGAAATGAGTTACATTATGGCATCCCATTCTCTTCTCTTAGGGTTCCGTAAGAATCAGCATTCAAGTTTCATTATACATTTTAACAGTATTCATTAACATTTTATTAGTATTATAGGTTGTGGGATTCAAATAAACTTAACTTAATAAAATCATAACATAAAATACCACATTGTATCATACAGACCTACCTAAAGTGTAGAGTGTTGGGCCACCGTAAGCTATCAGAACAGCTTCAGTGCACCTTAGCATAGATTCTACAAATCTCTGGAACTGTACTGGAGGAATGGAACCAGTGGTTGATCTAGAGAATGGCTTTTTGAGAGTTTTCCCTCCGGTAGCAAAATAACCCTCACCTTAAAGGCAAAAACACCCGCCCCACAGTGAGGTGGAAGCCAGTGATGTGGGTTTGGCGAATGCCAGGAGAACGTTACCTGCCTGACTTCATTGTGCCAACTATAAAGTTTGGTGGTGGAGGGATGATGCTATGGGGTTGTTTTTCAGGGATTGGACTAGACCCCTTAGTTCCAGTGAAGGGAAATCTTAATGCTTCATAATACCAAGACATTTTGGACAATTCTGTGCTTCCAACTTTGTGGGAACAGTTTGGGAAAGACCCTTTCCTGTTCCAGCATGACTGAGCCCCAGTGCACAAAGCAAGGTTCATAAAGGCCTGGCTGGGTGAGTTTGGTGTGGAAGAACTTGACTGGCCCACCCTGACCTCAACCCCATGGAACACCTTTTGGATGAACTAAAACGCAGATTCTTCTTCTTCTGGATGAATGGGCAAAAATTCCCACGGACACTCTAAAATCTTGTAGAAAGCTTCCCAGAAGAGTGGAAGCTGTTATAGTTGCAAAGATGGGACCAACTTCATAATGCCTTTTGATTTAGAATGGGATGTCATAAAAGCTCCTGTAGGTGTAATGTGTAGGTGTCCCAATACTTTTGTCCATATATTGTGTCTTTCCAATAGATTTAAATGCACTTGGATCTAAGATGTCAGGTTAATCAATGGCCCTACTGAAACTTGAGCCAGTTAGCATTTTTATGGCCCTAAAATGAACCCTCTTCATATCTTCCTGCTATTGGGATCTAAAATCAAGGGCCTGTTCTGCATTTTTATAGGTGCCACACAAAGCATAGTAGGATGTTAAGTGCCTAATCCTGTTACAAAGTACACCTGGAAGCATTAAATTGGTTTGGCAACAGCATCCAGTAGTCTTATTCCATGTTTTTAGTTACTGGTCCAAATTGGTTGTTGGTTACTTTAACCCTCTATTGCATGATGTTGCCTCAGGGCAACAAACTCATTTTCCTCACTTTACAATGAGATGATATGTATTTACTCATGAAAGGGTTAACATTTAAGGGAGGAGTTTGAACAAACCAGTAAAAAGTCTGTACTTGGTCACATCAGAATCTTTTGGACATTTTGAGATATTTGAAACTTTTTTTTTGGATAGCACAAGACAATTTCTCTCAGAAGAAAAAACAATTTTTCAGCAGTTTAAAAATACGTTTCACATCTATTAGAGTGTGAAATTATTTTACTTTACATTCAGTACCATATAAACAATTAGTAGACATTGTTTAAATATGTTTGTTGCCTAAAAGCAACATTGTGGAGTGAATTTAGCTAGTCGTAAACAAAGCATCACAGTTGCAAAGAAAATAGCCATGTGAGTGAACAGTCCTCTCATTATATTGAAAAGGAAATTTTCATTTTCATTTTTACTATGTAAAGAAGTGTAGTTTTTCATTTTCATTCTAAATATTTACACAAAAAATCATATTTCTTGACACTCTGTATCATTTTTTTCATTGTCACACAATGTTGCTTCAAGACAACAGACCCTAAAAAGATCTATTCGCACACATTATTTGTTTGTTTTGTTTTTTTTTAATACTCAGGTCCATTTTATACAACAAAAGTGAATGAAACATTTTTAAACATTGCTCTCATAATGCTTGCAATAGAGGGTTAAAAAATAGAAAAAAAAAAACATAAGAAACTACAAGAAAGTGGAATCAAAACAGTGGTAACCACCTGATTCCTCAAAACACAAATGAACCAGTGAATCCGACTCATGACTCATTGAATCAGACAATCGGAATAAGTCAGAGCTTCCCATCACTACATGCTTGACAAGTGTGGCTGTAATTTGGCCACTTTGCCGGTGCTGAATCACCTCTAATGCACGGCACTATTTTCGGCCCATCTCTTTTTCGACCAGTCTTCGACCTATTAATATCCCTGGGTCCACAGTGAAAGCTCTGTCAGCTGCCGGCCGGCCTGGCCGCCTGAGTGCTCTAAATGCTCTGAGAGACACCAAATGAGCTTCTCGCCAGGCTAACTAATGGATCCTGATAGCGCTCTTTTAGTGGATGGTGGAGCAGAAATATCCCTCCGGGCCCATAAACACAGCGTCCTATCAGCATTGTCCACTTCTCCCCGGGCCCATTCCGATTGGCTGGAGCTGAATGGTATGCAAATGAGG